CCCTGAACACACAGATATCTATGGGATTAAAGGCGTGTGCCACCACCGCCACACTCTTGCTATGGCTCTAATAGCTCTGACTCCCAGACAACTTTATTTATCAACATACAATCAAAATAATAATTCAGTACAATTAGATTATCACCACACAACTGTCCTCAGGGAGGGGTCAGTGAGACGGCTCAGAAGATAAAGGCATTTACTATATAAGTCCTGATAGCCTAAGTTCTACCCCTGGAATCCACATAAACCTGAAGGAGAGAAGTGATTCTACAAAGTTGCCTCTGACTGCTACTCACATGTGCACCCACAATCAGACACCCAATAATAATTCATTTTTTAATAATGTTCTTAGGGTATTCAGATGAATAACCCCAGACAAGTGTGGCAATGCCTGCCTGTAGTCCTGGCTCTTGGGAGGCTAAAGAGGCCAGCCCATACTACATAGTTCAGCCCCTGTCTCCACAACAACAACAACAACAAACCAAAGTGAATCGAAGTGCAACTTCTCAGTTGAAACATCATTATCTTTGAGGATTGTGAGTCCATCCAAGTTAAATTTGGGGGGAAAAACTGGTGTGTTGTATCCTTAGAAATGAATTTTCTTTTAATTGATGTGTAAAATTTGAGCAACAAATCACAGTTGGCCATGAAATTTCTCAACTTTGAAATCAGGCTGCAGCTCCGACTTTCCTATTTGGGATGGCCATGAGGCCATATTAACAGAAACGGCGTCTGCAAGAAGGAGCCAGGACATGGAGTCCCAATAGGCTATGAATCCTGGGTGTCTTCTAAAGTCAGTTGGGTAATTGTGAAGAAGCCGACAATGAGGGTTCAAAATGCACTTACCTTTCCATTCAGGTATGTCTCCCAGGACTGTTAGAAGTATTCTGCACCATGCAGAACACTGTTAATACCTCTGAGGAAGATATGATTAAAGAATTCTCATAGTTTGTACCTTCAAGGAAGGAAATTTCTACTAACTAGTCATTGCATGTTTGGGGCAAACAGTTTAGCCTACCCTTTTGCTTTATTATTGGTGAAAATAGAATTCAATTTTAGCATGGTAGAGGGTCTTAAAGTGTTTTGGAAAAAGGGTCATTAGTTAATGTGATGCACTTAGGCTAATTCCTAAGTCACCAGTGAAGTAACTATGGTATAATTCTACCAAAGGCAGAGGACCTCGGGCTTGTAGGGAGTGATGATAACGAGACATCAATGTATACATACAATTACCCTCTCTCCACACTTCCATATTCTAGTGACCAATATGATGGTTTTGTGGAGGAGGTAAAGAAAGTGGGCATCTATGTGACACCTAGTTTGTCAGGTGTCCATTAACACCTCTTGTTAAGCAAAGTTCATGGTCCTCCTGGTAACTTAAACCTCCTGTCAGGAATTAGGATGATAACATCTGTAGCTACTTATGGAGCACCTCCTCAGCATCAGATGTCCTTCCTACTTATTTCTAACATTGATGTTCTTTGGAAGGTGTTTTCTTTATTTTATAGGTAAGGAGCTTGAGGCCTAGAGATGTTAAGGAGAATACCCAAAGGCATAGGGCTAGAAAAATATGGCATGGGTCAGTAAGGATTCAGGACTTGGGCCAAGCTCTCCTTCACTTTCCCTTTTCTTTCATCCTGGGAATCAAGTCCTATGAATGGATCACATGCCAGGCAAAAGCTCTACCTGTGAGCCACATCCCCAATCCCAAGCCCTCCAGAAAAGTCTTTAAACGTACTGACTCTTCTACTAAGTCCTGCCCATGCTTGTGTTTGACCTGTTAAGATGGGAAATAGTTGCCCCACTTCAGTTAGTGATGGGCATTCCCATAAGGTTGGCTTGGGTGTGTCTGTCGTTCTCACTTTCAGAGTGGGGATTCTCCTTCTTTCACCTTTTCCTCCTGATATACCCTGAGCATCCCATAGTTCTCTTCCAGATACAGTGGAGGGCCAAACAGCAGTATTCTTCAGAACTCTGCAGCCATGAACATAATACATGCATTGTTAGTCATCCCGAAGGCAGGGTAAGTTTTATAACTATAACTTCACTGCCGCATTTCAATGAAGCCTGCCATCCCTGAGACCCCTGAGGTCTTTTATTCTGGCCTACATATACATTTATTGCCACTTTGAGGAATTTATTGACATACTGTATTTATTTTTTCTTCCCAGATGCTCTTATTATATGCCATCCTATTTTTTTTCTTTTTGGTTCTCTAATGTGTTTTTGCAGAATGACCTTGACAAATTGAGAAAATGAGCAGAGATGCCTCTGCTTTAGAGACTCACAACTCCCCTAGCTCCTCCCTCCTTCCCCCAGCCCACCTCCCTTCCTGCCTCCTTTCCTTTCTCTGAAGCTTAGAAAATTTAAATAACATACATCAAATTATCCCGCCAGAAAATCTAATACAGGTTGAATTTCCTCATATAAGAGTGCTTCTCACCACAGGGTCACAGTCACCAGAGCTTATTAGAAACACTGTGTTTCAGCCCAGCCTAGACGTCCTCTGCCGGAATCTGCATTTTAACAAGACCTCGGACGATGCTATCCTGTAAACTGGAGAAATGGAAATACTGGTTTAGATTAGAGAAGCCTGGTTAGCGACTCCCAACCTTTCTTTCCCAACTAGCAAAACTGTTTTCACCCCCATCTCCGACATTAACTCAAAGGGAAACCACCAGTCCTCTACTCCAAGAGATCTCATTCATCTTGCTAGCAAATGAATTGAGGGCCAGCTTTTGATCCATTTTGCCAATCAATAATTAATATTGAGGCTCTAAAAGTACAATTTAGAATTCATTTGGAATATTGGAAATTAGAATTTAGGAGACATGAATTTGAATGGAGAGATGTTCACTCCAAAGAGAATAAGAGACTGGACTTTAAGGGCAAAGAACCTACAATGAATGATTGGTGGAGGCAGGCACCAGCATCCCTGAGTCTAGCTGACTGATAAGGGGCTGAAGTAACTCAGAAGTTGGTTCAGGTAGCCTCTTAAGATGCTTTCTGGACTCTGTTGTAGAGAATGTTCTCACTCTCTCTTACTGTCCAAAGAGATACAATACCATTTCCCCCTGATTTCACAAGTTCTCCCCAGTGAGGTGTCAGAGAGTTCTGGTAAGGGACCCCAGGAAAAAACTTCATAACTCCATAGTGACTCATACAAGAAGAAAAGAACTATGTGTTTTCTACCATTTGATTTTGTGGTGTATTTATGTTAAAAACAATAGTAATTCTCTTGTAACCATGATGGGATGGTTAGCAGTGGTCCATGGAAATATTCTCAGCTTTGCCAGAAAGAAATTGATAAGTCAAATGCTGAAGTTCCTTTGTCTTTTTTTTTTTTTTTTTTGCCAATGTCTGCCTTCCATCAATTCCTCTCTTGTACCCCTTACTTTTTATTTTCTCATCTGCTGTATGTTTTACCCTCGTAAAATTTTGGAAAATTTGGAAAAATTCAATTCCTCTCAGAGAATTATTCTTGATTTCTGCTGTAAACACAGCAGTCAGGAGGCTAATCCATTAAAACTCAACAAACCCTTAAAGAGTCAAGATCAGAGATGCCTGCCTGCCTCTAATGTGGAATGTAGTGCCTTTGCTTCTGATAAGTTTTATTATTAGACTTATCTTTCTCACTTCTCAATTTTGTTATAGAAGTTATAGAATGAAACTCTCTGTCTCTTCCTCTCTCTGTCTCTCTCTCTAATGCACACACATATCTATCTGTATCTATAACTACACACACACACACAGACACACACACACACACACACACACTAGAATGACTTACAAGCTGTAGTCTAGCTAATCCAGCAATGACTGGATATGAATGGAAAGTCAAAGAATCCAGTCATTATTCAGTTCAAAAGGCTATTTATCTCAGTTGGTCTTTAGTATATGCTGGTATCCTGAAAAGTAGGCTCTAATGTCAGTGAAGGAATGGACTTGCTAGCAAGGCAAGTGCAGGCAATGAGCATAAGCTTCCTTCTTCTATGTCCTTACATAGGCTTCTAGTAGAAGGCATGGCCCAGATTGATCTGGATTAGAGATCTGGACTAAAGGTGTGTTTTCTTACCTCAAAGATCTAGGTGAGAAACAGATATTCCTACTTCAAATTAAATAGAAATATTTCATAGATGTGCCCTCCATTTTTGGGGTTTTAGTTAATTCCAGTTGCAGTCAAGTTGACAACCAAGAATAGCCATCACATGTTGGTGCATATTCTTTTATATTTGTATAAAAGCACTGTGTTCACTTTTTGAAAATTACATTTTAATGCTAACCTACAAAATCTTAGTGATGAATTTTTCAGGCCAATTTAAAATTAACTATATACTCTAACTAAATTAGGTCATTTTTCTAGAACTCATAAAAGAATACATGTTTCACCTCTTAAACGCATTATCATATCAGTTTGACACCCTATGTCTTATTTGGGTTTTAAGTATATAGCCAAATAATTAAAAAAATTTCTATCAAACAACCTTAATGATAGTAAAATCCATTAGTGAATATCAATATAGTGTGCTGGCCATGCATTATATTATTGTGAATTTGTCAGCATAGTGTGGTTATGTAGACAAGGATATCATTTTATTAGTTACCTTACTTTGGTACTGCTTCTAAACTGATTTTGTATATAGATTTTTGTTTGAGGGGGTTTCTATTCATATATATTACAACACTCGATCAGTCAAGAAAATAGCATATATTCCTCTTTTGTATACACTTCAAAGACTATTCTGTAATCAATAGCTCTGCTTCCATCCCATTTCTAATTCTTTAGTCTTCATAGACTGAATGAACATTTCTTGTTTAGAAAATGAATGTTAAATTCAACTACATTTTAAAATGCTCAGCAAAACAGAGACAATGGACAGATGAAAGCAAGAAATTTATCATTAGAGGAATAAAATTTTTCCAGAGTTTTCAAGAGGAGAACATGTAAGAACTGAAATGGAATTGAATTAAACACACACACACACACACACACACACACACACACACACACACACACACACACACACACAGTGTCAGCCCTCTTACAGCACATATAGGAACATTTGTTTATAGAAGGGAGTTACCATAAAATTGTTCGTAAATATTGTGTGATGTCCAAACTATAGTTTTTAAATAAAGAGGTACTTGAAAATTTATATAATGATACCACAGGTTTATTAGATCATAAATAAATATTTATTAAGCAGTGATTGGGGTGTTAGGCTTGCAACATTGGCCTTCAGGGAAGCAACATTCCCAATGGAGGAGGGAAAGGGAAGAAAAATTAAGTAAATGAATAAAGATGTGCTATAGTTTATATGTAGACTATTGAGGATGAAATGAGATGATCATTTACTAAATAGTGAACTTCATTCTGTTTAAGAAAATGAAATTTATCAAATTTCAATTAAAGTAAATGTAAACATTTCTTCAATCTTTACCCTCATGGCCCAGTGACTCTTCACTATTTTGCATCCTATGGCAGCTAGTGCTCCCTCTAAATAATTTCTGATAGTAGTGTAGAACCCGGGAATATTTTAAGGATGGCTATGGCATAGAAATAGATGTGTACTAGTGAATACTACTGTCAACCTTCTCTAAAAGCACTTTCTATATGGAAGAGAGAAGCTAAATGAATTTCTGTAATCAAGATTGCCACAGTTTCATGACATCTCCTTACACATTTGATCATCAGAGAAATAGAATGTGTAGCAATACTCTTTTATCAGCTTAGAGTGCTTTGTCAAGGGATGGTTATTGTCCCATAAATTCAATTTAAAGGGAAAGGAATGTAATTCCTTTTCAAGGTCATTAAAACAAGTAAGAAATGTTAGGGCATATAAATAAAATTTTAATCTGCTAAACTAGCTGCAAAGAGAGACAGAGAGAAGGAGAGATTTTCTCAGTAAATATTATATACACATACTTTGTCAATTAACTTTTTTTTGACTGTGAACAAAATGTAAATGTCATGGATAAATGATAGCTTTAATGATGTTTTCCAGCATTGTGGTCCTCGTTACCATGGCTTCTTAACAAAGATGTTAAATCATTAGAAGTCGTATTTCATGATAATTAACTGCAAATCTGGTAATATTACTGATTTTCATTTGGCATGAAATGATGAGGGAGAACCACAAGGTTTATTGGAGGTACATGCCAGAGGACAGAGCAACTTAATGTATGTGTATAAATCTTATAAAACTGCCGACTGGACAGCACTTTATGATAGGCATAAATCCCCATTCACTCTCTGATAGTGACAGACAAGGGAGTCTGCAGTGGAGGCAGGAAAGAAGGGAAATCACCCTAGGGCAAAATAAGTGTTCTGGGACTGTGGCTCTCTTCCCTTCCTTTTCTTGCTTTATTTTACAATAGCTAAACAACTTCCCACTCTTGCTTAAGATTTAAACAATTAAAGTCTGCAACCTTATTAATTCTGTCTTATTAGATGTGCTTCATTGTAAAGTATGCCATGATGATTTCACAATTAAACAGCTATTAGCATTTGCCATTTTAAATTATTGTTCTGTCAGTATTGCTTTGAAGTTCTAGAATTGTTCAGTAATCTCATTCAAAGTTTTGTTCTGGGAAGTGAACAATGGTCAGGAGTTCATTGTGTTGTAAATATTTGCATCCCAACCTGTAAAAAAATACATGGAGCGTCGGGTGTGGTAAGAAGGGTACTTCCTAGAAAGCTAGATGACCTGATTTGATTTTGTCCCTCTTGATAAGCAGTAGAGATTTGGAGCACTGTTTTAATCAAGGTTGTCTCTGTTGCAAGTGGCTGCAAGACAGGGAGAAAAGCCTCTTGGCTCATGTAGTTGAAACTGAGTTTTCTACAAGACTCTCAAGAGCAAGTTGCCCATTAGGGCAATTGCACCAGTGTCCTATTTCTCTTTGTTTTTGTCGGAGCCGGCTTCATTTTCAGAGGAGCCCTCTCCATGCAGTGAGCAAAACAGTAACCCGACTCACAGATTTTGCTATCTGGGGATCCTAGAGGGTGGCTATAGATAATCTTAAGCACAAACTTTACTGAAATTAAGAAATAATAATAATAATGGTAAGATGTTATTTTGTAAGTGGGTGGAGGAGATGTTTCCAGAAGGACTGGTGTCTGAGTTAGTGGGCTAAGTAAGGAAGATCCATGCTTATCCACTATCATCTAGTTAGCTGTCTTGGTAAACAAAAAGGTCAGAGGAATGATAAAGTTAGCTTTCCTCCTCTCTTCCTGTGGTGGCACAAGCTTTGCCCTCTTCCTGGACATAAGAATTTCAAGCTCGCTGGCCTTTGGCGATGACTTTCACCAACTGTCTAGCTCTGTTATCAGTTCTCCAGTCTCCAAATTTGTGCTGAATCAAGACATGGCTTTTCAGACTTTGTAGCTTGTAGATAAGAGGTGATAGGACCTCTTAGCTTCTATAATCATATGCAGTAACACCCTTAATAACATTCCACTGTAGATCTGTCCATCTATCTGTGCATCCTATTGGTTTTGCATCTTTGAAGAAGATTGCCCAATAAAACAAGATACTGTCTTTGTACACTTTACTAAAAATCTGTG